CCAACGATTGTCACCAACGGGCTGACTGGCAACAACAACAACAAGAACTAAATACAATGGAGGGGTATGGGCGACAACAGGCGCACAGGCATAATGTAATGGGCTAGGCCCATTGTTAGCGCCTCGGCAACAGCACAGGCCTCGGTACCTCCGAAGCGGACGTACAATCTCCGGAGCGGGCCTGCAACCTCCGAAGCGGGAGTATTAGAATTCTGCAAGTACCGCTCTGGGACTTGCCCCTTATCAAATCCATCAAGTTCTACATCGCATATTGCCCTCAGCGGCTCGCCCCTTACAATTGGATTTGATCACTCCCAACAGGCATCGAAAGACCACCTGTAACCATGTCCGAACTCGAGGAAGCCGTGAGGCAACTTATGGACCATGGCGTTGAACTCTGCAATGGCGGCACCCCCCAACAGGACGTTCGTATCGAGTTACAACACGCAACCGCTCGGACGGTGTCCGAGGAACATTACGAGGGAGTCCTCCAGCGGGTAATGCAGTCCCTGATGAACCAACCCGCCTGGCAGACGCTGCCGGAAGGCACGCTGGCGCTACCCCTTTCCAACACCCAACCAAACCCTGCCCCACCCAGCGCCGACAAGAACGCGCAACTACGAGAGACTATCCGGGTGATGGGTAACCAACTGCAGCTCCTCCTCGCCCAACAGGGGCTTGACCCAGCCGCCACTACGACGACACCGAACGCCACAACGAGAATAAGCTCAACTACGAGGACGTTGAAGCTCCCAGACGTAGGGAAGTTCAACGGCAACCGAAGAGCGTACCGGACCTTCAAGTCTCAGATGAAGGACAAGCTCCTCTGGTATAACGGTCAGGAAGACTATGGCGTAGCGTACATCTTCAATAGGCTAGAAGGACAAGCCGCCCATGTGGGACTGTCATGGAAGGACCGCAACCCACAAGGGACTACCGAAGAATTCTGGACATTCCTTGACGGCCAGTACCAGGACTCGCTGTTCGAAGAACGCTCCCGCCAGAAGCTCCAAACCATCACGATGAAGAAGTTCGGCCAAAGTTTGGAAGCATTCAACGCCGAATTCATCCAATTAGCCTACGATGCGGCAGAAGACCAGAACGTCCGTAACTTGAAGACAAGGTATATGTCCGCGATTAGGCCGGACCTCCAGGAGAAGATGGTATCCGTAGACATTCTGGAAGAATGGGACCTGTCAGACCTCATGGCACGGGTGCTCAAGGTGGACATCAACATGCGTCGAACTAAGTCCAACGTTAACTCCACCTTCAGCCGACAGAACAAAAAGGTCACCAGTGAGGAGATGGATTGGGAGCCAACTCGCGCCCACTCGGGAAGGCTGGACAATGACAATCGGCGCAAGGCCGAGTGGCAGACCCAGGAAGAGGTCGACAGACGCAGGGCAAATAACTTATGTATCAGGTGCGGCGCGGAGGGCCACTACGCTAACAGGTGCAAGCTCGCCCCAGCAAGAAGGCCAGGCAAGACCCAGGCTAGAGCTGCTGCGGTCACTGATACTAACTCTGGCGCTGAGGACTTCGACGATGCTAGTTCGGAAAACTAGATACTCCTGCCCAGAGACGCGGGCAGGGGTCAAAGAGTTCAGTGGCGAGGGACAGTGATTCCTTCCGACAGTTCCGCAAGAGCTGGCCGGATGGGAAGCCCATCTCGTTACACGCTTTGGTAGATGACATGGCCGTAGCACACACACTAATTGACACTGGGTGTTTGACATACGCTATTATTTCCTCCAAATTCGTGAAACGGAACCACTTGGAGCGCACCCCTATCGACAGACGGAGGATAATTGGCGTCGCCGGGAAGTCGACCTGGATGACGGACGCCGTGAAATTTAAGATTGACATCGAAGGCCATGAAGAGACCATGTGGGCATACGTACTCGAAGGAGAGCGGGATTACGATCTCATCTTAGGAAGACCATGGATGGATAAACACGGGGTCACAATGGCACCTGCCAAGAAGTCCATTTATATTCATTCTTCCTTGATCCGCGTACGTAGCAAAGAAGGAAGAAAACCGGAGTCGATCCCACAACCCGTGAGTCTGGAGCTATATCAAGCTCTCAGGACCAGGTCCAAGAAAGAACCCGGGATCGAAGTCTTCACCGCCTCCATGGCCGACATACAGAAAGCCCTTCGGAAGAAGGTGCACGTCGACCCCCGAAATAAGCTCCCTGAGTACCTCCGAGACGAGTACAAGACCTTCATGAGGGAAGAGGCCGACAAGCTGGCTCCACATCGCGGTCCCGATATCGACCACACCATTGAGATTGTCGAGAAGGATGGAAAACCTGCAGTGATTCCTTGGGGACCACTGTACAACATGTCAAGGGAGGAACTCTTAGTGCTCCGCCAGGAGCTCACGAGGTACCTTGACCGCGGCTTCATTCGAGTCAGCAAGTCAAGCGCGTCGGCGCCGGTGCTATTCGCGAAAAAGCCAGGAGGAGGGCTACGGTTCTGCGTAGATTACCGGGCCCTGAACGCGATTACGAAGAAGGACCGCTACCCACTACCCCTGATACACGAGACGCTGTCCCAGATCTCGAAAGCCAGGTGGTTCACAAAGGTCGATGTGATGCAAGCTTTCCACAAGATCAGGATAGCCAAGGGAGAGGAATGGAAGACAGCCTTCCGCACGAGGTTCGGCCTGTACGAATGGCTCGTGACGCCATTTGGACTCGCTAACGCGCCGAGTACCTTCCAGAGATACATCAACTGGGTCCTGCGGGAATACCTCGACGAGTGGTGCTCCGCATACGTGGACGACGTCTTGGTTTACTCAAGCGGATCGCGCGAAGAACACGAAGCCAAGGTCAAGGAGATCGTGCGGAAACTGGGCGCCGCGGGATTGCACCTGGACGTGGATAAGAGCGAATTCTCGGTCAAGAAGACCAAGTACCTCGGTTTCATCATCGAAGCCGGAAAAGGCATTCGCATGGATCCAGAAAAGATCGCTGCGATTAAAAGCTGGGAAGCCCCGAAGTCTGTCAAGGGTATTAGAAGCTTCATTGGCTTTGCGAATTTCTACCGCCAGTTCATCAACGGGTTCTCGAAACTGGCCGAGCCCTTGACAAAGCTGACAGGAAAGAATGCTATCTTCTCTTGGGGTACCGAACAGAGACTCGCGTTCGAAGACTTGAAGGCAGCCTTCGTAAAGGAGCCGGCGTTAGCAAACTTCGACCCCAACCTCAAGACACTCCTTGAGTGCGATGCGTCAGGCTGGGCAACCGGAGGCGTGCTCTCCCAATACGGGCCCGATGGTCTCCTGAGAGCGGTGGCATACTTCTCTGCCAAGAACAACAAGGCTGAAGTGAACTACACCATTCACGACAAGGAGATGCTGGCAGTCATTAAGTGCCTAGACGAATGGTCTACGGAACTGCGACAGGTTAAGGAGTTCACGGTCATCACTGACCACAAGAACCTGGAGTATTTCTGCACTACACGTCTCCTGTCGGAGAGACACGTCCGATGGGCTAGCCTTCTCAGTCAGTTCAACCTGACGTTCGTGTATCGGCCAGGAAAGATCAATGGCCGCGCAGACGCGCTGTCGAGGAGGGAGGAACACATGCCAGGGAGCACAGGTGACGACAGAACAGAATCGCGCCGGTTCCAGTTACTACAGCCTTTTGCCTTTGTGCGGAAGCCGCCGACAGGAGAGAGGGAAGCAGGTGCTTCGGTTTCGTTCTCCGTCCGCCTACGAAACGCTCAGGCACTCCGCCTGGCAAAAACAACCATCCAAACGGCAGGCGATTTCCCTAGCAAAAGAGAATACCACGCGAAGGCAGTAGCGACGGCCCACCCCGTCACGACTCGCCGCCAGCGTCGCCAACAGACCACGGCGGAACAGGTAGTCCAGGGGGCCATTCCACACTCGCCAACCGCTGAACCTTTACCAGCAAGTGTACCTCCGGTAGAACCAACCAGATCCGAAGCAGGCGCAGGTAATCGAGCGCCCATCGATCAAGATGTTCGACCTTACGATGGGATTGAAAGCACCGAGATGGCTTGGTCCCACGCAGAGGCAGAGGACGAAAGGTACCAGATGGCAAAGGAGGCCCTTCTATCCGGGGCCCGGAAATTCCCACCACAATTAGGGTTGAAGGTGTCACTGGCGGAATGTGCTATTGACGCCCAAGGCCGTTTGAGATACCGGGACAGGAAATGGGTCCCCCAATCTGAAGATCTCAGAGGACAAATCATCAACGAGATCCACCACTCTCCCATTGCAGGACACCCGGGAAGGGAAGTCACATACTCAATTCTCGCCAGGAGCTACTTCTGGCCGGGAATGTCGGCCGCAATCAGGAGGTTTGTCGAGAACTGCGACGTCTGCGGGAGGACCAAGCCTTGGAGGGAGTTGAAGAGAGGGCTACTGAAGCCTCTCCCTCTCCCGAGTCAGATCTGGAAGGAGATTTCCATGGACTTCATTACCAACCTTCCCGAAAGTGACAAGAACTGCAACCTCATGGTGGTCACGGACAGACTTGGGAAGGACGTAGTGCTGGTGCCGCTGCCGGACCTGAAGACCGAAACAGTCGTCCGCGCATTCATTGAAAGAGTGGTTGCATACCACTGGGTACCAAATGCCATTGTCTCCGATCGTGGGTCCCAATTCTTGAGCGACTTCTGGACAATGATGTGCGCCAAACTGGGCATCACAAGGAGGCTCTCGACGGCGTTCCACCCCCAGACTGACGGCAGCACGGAACGGATGAACGCCGTGGTGGAAGCGTACTTGCGAGCGTATGTAAACTGGAGCCAAAAGGACTGGGCAACGTGGACCCCGGCGGCTCAGATCGCGATCAAGGGTCGAGTTGCTGTCTCGACCGGTGTCAGCCCCTTTTTCCTACAACATGGGTACGACGTGGACCCGGTTCAAGAAGACCCGGACCTCGTGGCCGAGCTGCTGCACCGCAGTGCAAGGGAACCTACCCAGGCAGCCAACTCGATGGTAGAAAAGTTCAAGGAAACCATCGGGTTTGTGCAGGCCAAGATGGCCGAAGCTCAGCAAGAGCAGGAGAAGCACGCCAATCGGCATCGTCAGGAAGCTCCCCAGCTACGTGTGGGTGACAAAGTATGGTTGAAGCTAGGAAACCACTTCTCCAACGACCGAACGAGCAGGAAGCTTGACTGGAAGAACAGGAAGTTCACCGTCCTAGAAGTGGTCACGCCACACAACGTCAGGCTGGACGTCCCGGGGAAGGTTCACCCTGTGTTCCACGTTGACAGGCTCCGCCTCCATCCCCAGAACCCCCTCCCACGACAAACGAACGATGACCCGCAACCAGGGCCTCTCGTAGTCATGAACGACGATGGGACCTTAGCGGAGGAATGGACGGTTGATGCGATCCACGCGGAACGACCTGTGGGCCCCGGTGGGAGAGATCGAGAGTACCAAGTTGCATGGCTTGGCCATGCAGCGCGGACTTGGGAATCAAGCGCAACGTGCGAGCCGTTGGAGGCCCTGGATGAATGGTTGGAATTTACATCCAGCAAAAGAGATAGTCGTGGAAACCTGCCTGCAGGGTTCCAACGAGAGCCCCCATCTCGGGAGCTCTAGCAAAACACCACGACTAACCGCCAACACACACAGTCACAATGGGTCACGCAGCCGCTCTCCGCGCGGGTACGCGCTATGCCTTCTCCAGGGACTTCAAAAAAGAAGGGAATGATTCCTCTCTCGACCTACCTCAAGCAGTACAAGGTCGGTGACATCGTCGATGTTGTTGCCAACGGTGCTGTCCAGAAGGGTATGCCCTACAAAGTCTACCACGGCAAGACTGGCATTGTCTACAACGTCATTAAATCGTCTGTCGGTGTCATCCTCCACAAGCAGGTCGGCAACCGATACCTCGAGAATGGCATAACAAGGGGAGTGATGAGCGGGAGGAGAATGAGGACAGAAGGAGGGAGGACACAGAGGAGGATATGGAACAAAAAAAAACACAAAAAAAAATCCGAAAGACAAGAGAGACCCTAATCGGCCGAGCCACTCTCACCGGAGTGACGAGCCTCCTCTTCAGCACGAATCTGGACATTGTCGGCAAGGAAGCTGTCCTGAACGGCCCTCCTCTTCTCCTCCAGCGCAGCAGAATTGGGGCCAATCTCGAGAGCATTAAGGACCGCCTCCTCGAAGGCAATGAAGCGGGCGGCAAAGCGGCTAGTCATCGACACCAGGAGCTTGAGTTGCACAACAACTTCATCGATGCCCTCAGCGGCGCGGTTGGCAGCGAGAAGCTCTGGAGGGGGGTTACAGGCAAGCTCCGCGACCTCCTCCTCGAAGTCAGACCACTCCAGCGCATAGCCGGTCGCGCCACCCTTCTTGACAGGCCAGGTACCGAGCTCGGGCTTGTTGGGCAGGTGAGCGCGCGCCTCAAGAACCCCACGAATGGGGTCGACGATCTTGGCGAACAAGGCCTCTCGCTTGGTGTCGGAGGTGTCGAGGGCCGAGACGGACTGGTAGTTGGATAACCTCTTCCAGGTCGCACGAGGAGCCTGAAATAGGAGGTCAAAAAAAAAAAAAAAATGATGACTTTTTCTTGGCAAGGAAAGGGAGTCCTCTTACCTTGTAACAGGCACACTTAGCCGCACCGCAGGGGTCGCAAGAGTCCTTGAGGGCAGAACCGCGCTTGGCCTTCGAGAAGACGCACCTCTTGCCGGTCAGGGCACAATTGATGCAGACACGAGGATCCTTGGAGCCACCGGCGCGAGAAGAGCGGGGAGTTCTCTCAACATCAGAAGACCCGGACTCACCCTCAGAGCTCTGGGCGATGATCTCGGCAAGCTGTTCGGCGAGGTCCTCATCATCATCGGCAGACTCGACAGTGCGCTTGGGAGTCGACCGAGCGCGCAGCCTCTTAGAAGGCGTCTCGTTCTGAAGTAAAAGTTAGCGGGAATGTAGAAGGTTGCACGCACACGCGCGGCGGGGTTAACAAAGAACTTACAACACCGTCGCGGAAACGCTTCTTGGTGGGGGAAGTTGAGCCGGCCATGGTAGAGAACGACTTGATTGGGAAATTGGCAGTAAGGTTGCAGGCAAGCGGGTAGAGTTTGGTTAAGCGGAGTTTAGTTAGGTGGAGTTGGTACCGGGCACCGTGGTGCAAGAAGCGCGTTGTTTTGGCCAAGGAGCGGTAAATAAACGCGGTTGTAGTGAGGGGATACTGTAATGGGCTAGGCCCATTGTTAGCGCCTCGGCAACAGCACAGGCCTCGGTACCTCCGAAGCGGACGTACAATCTCCGGAGCGGGCCTGCAACCTCCGAAGCGGGAGTATTAGAATTCTGCAAGTACCGCTCTGGGACTTGCCCCTTATCAAATCCATCAAGTTCTACATCGCATATTGCCCTCAGCGGCTCGCCCCTTACATCTATAGCAGCCATTACAAAATCGCGTTTGCGAATAGATAGCTCAGCATTAGGCCTTTGATTGGCTGAAATAACTGCGCTGAAATCTGTCATATTGATAGAGTTATGGTTGATGGAAGTGGTGGGGTCTCTGATGCGATCGCGTTGATGAGGCTGCACGGTCCACTTACGCGAACAGACTTAAGTCTTAGTACTGTACCTTGTGACGATGGAACAAATTTTTTGGGCCATTTTAAAGACACAGTAATCTCAGCGCACATCTCGAGGTAATAATTACAATGAACAAAGTACCAGGTCCGAACCGATTCAAGATGGTTGCAGCGGATTGTTTCGAGCATCAACCGGATATCTGTCTGACAGGCGAACAAAAGAGCAGGGCAACAATATGGACGACACTTTCACGACTCCAGCTTGTTCACTTCACGTGCATGGCTTGCTGTACGCAGAATGCTCAAAAATATTACGAGGAACGTTTTGAGTACTCTTCGCTTGCTGTGTGGCATTAATGTTCTTTGATCGTTGAGCTGGGCAACCACGTGCGCTGCAAGACACAACATTGTACTTTAGGTTAACATCGTACTTTATGTTAACAGTGGTTTACCCTCATAGGAACGATCAATATGGATGACTGATTCTGAAGGAAGAGATGAGACAGTACTACCTTTGATCAAGACTTGGCATTAGAAAGAATGAGGCGATGGCTGGTATTTGAGCGGGGCTGGAAAGGGCAGAGTGACTATGTTGTGCGTCTGAACATGCACATGGCCACAATACTTCGACTGGAAGTATTCTACGGGGCATCTAAGTGGTGCTTGGTGATGTTGGCGATCTGACTGAGTAGCCAGGTGGTGCCTGCCGTCCCTTGCTTGCGCCTCACAAATGTCATCCTATAAACACTGTGGCGTCCGCACCACCCTTCTGATCCTTGCCACACTCTACACATTTCGCCATACCCTCATTTATTGCGTGATCTCACTCATTAAAACATTACGATCCTTAGGTCAAGTATAACGAGAAAAAAACATTCCTTTTCGCGTTTCTTGTTTGTTTGCGCTCGCGCCCATTCGCCATGGGAGGAATGCTTCACGAAATTGTCACATCCAAAGTACGAGGAATTGTTTAACATTCTGAACAGTGAGGGTACGATTACCCCAGGTACTGCCATTCCGCCCGTCCCGGTCACTACCTTGACACCGGTTTTCAATGGCACGACACCATCCACTCACGAACACTGTACAGGTTTGTATCAACTTCTGTATTTCGCAATGCTACAACTACGCAAGTATTCACGGGGACACGTGTGGTAGTGCTACCCCCATACTATCCAGACTTCGCGGAGAATGCTGACATCAGTTTAGGGCGTGCCGGACAGCTACTCTCTAGGAACCGAACAAATCAAGTGAACAACAGTTTGTGCAGCACGTCTTGTTCAGGCGCCAGCGGACAGTTTTGTGATCTTGTAAGCGCCACCATGTCGAGAATCTCGGTATACTACGCCACACCACGATCAGCCGTTCCATTGTTGCCTGGCGTTGTTGGCGCTTTGGCAGGCCTCCCCTCTACCTACAGCTACGCGGCCTGCTTCAGGTAAGTCTAGCTACGAGCTTGGTCCTGAAATTGGTGTCTGGTATCGCCAGGAGTACCTTTCCTGCGAGCTCTGACAGAATGGAGCTTTGATGAACAAACAGATGGCTTTGGATGATTTCTCGGGAAGATATGTCACGACAAGATCCATGTCGTGAATCAAGGTAAGGACCGTGTCTTTCCTCAAGTTCAACATCCACACCCCACATTCTATTAGCGAGCAACTATAAAACTGCCACTACGTAGCTGATTTGCTTGCTCTTCTTTCACGATCTCTACCGTTGCGATGAACGATTTATCGAGGTGAACAGGTCGGAGATGGTCGACATGCCTTCGCATGCAAAAGCCCGGCAGTTCATCCTGTTTGGTGATTCGCTCACAGAGCGGAGTTTCGATGAGCACGATAAGGGCTTTGGGTGATATCTCGAGCAGAAGTATCAAGATAAGGTTCACATACAGTGCAAAGGTAACTGACGCCATAGAGTTCAGAACATCTGCGCAGAACCAAATAGCACTATTTGACTGGCACATGAGCAAGTCAAGCAGAGTAGGCTGCGCCAATAGCCAGAGCACCTCTGAGAACCAAGGATGTTGATTCAGACCGTGAATACACACCCACCCGTCTCCTCCCTGACTTCGGTCGCATAACCGTTCGCGCAACATCACCCAACGCGCCACGAACTCTCCTCTTCATCATATTCCTTGGTGTGAACGATGCCTGCTTCATCGGCGACATCGAATACTGTAACTACGTGGCTTAAGTCACATGATGTTCTAATGAGGAAGGCAAGTGCACTTACCTCTGAGCCTAGCGCTCCTGTACAAAAACATCACCGAACAAGAACACAGATAGCAATACAATCATTGACCACAGCCTCCGACCGACACTGCTCAACCAGTTACAAATACGTACCCTTGCTCACTTTCGAGGCCAACATCCGCAAGTTCGTCGAGCCAATCCTGACACAAGATGCGACGTGCGACACCAAGATCATATTAATTACACCACTGCTAATCAACATTCCAAGTCCTGATGCTGAAGATATGGGTGAGGACGAAATTCAGGAAGTGAATGAGACCAAGAGGGGAACGAGGGGTTACAGGACGTACATGAGTAAGAAGAGGTATGCAGAGCGAATTATGCAGATTGCGAAGGAGCATGAGGAGATCGAATAAGAATTCTGGGGGGATCTGGCGAGGACGCGGTTACAGGAGGTGGAAGAGGAGTGTGATGAGGAGCAGCTGCCAGGCTCTGGGTTGCACGGAGTGAGGGATTTTGGCGAAGGGCACTTCACTGATGGGCTGCACTTGGACAAGAAGGGCTACAACGTGCTCTCCAGGGGACTGTATGAGAAGATGGTGACTAAGTGGCCTGATTTTGTCCCAGAGCATTTATGAAGAATGCAGCGGTTACTGAAGCTACCATCCGCTTGATTGTAAAGTGTTATTGTTGGGTATCTAATCTAACGTTGATCGTCGTTCAGCCTCTGTTGATCGTCGTTCAGCCTCTGTTGATCGTGTTGCCGGAGCCCTTGGGGTTTTCTTCGACGAACTCGTCCCACGCGCGTGCCTTCATTGTCTCCGCATCGGCCGCATCGAGATCATCCTCATTGGGCTCAGGTCTAATCTCCGACTGGGGACCTCCACCCTCAATGATACCGCCACGACGCTTCTCCTCTTCGAGATACTCGTCAATGGTCATAGTCGGTAAGCTGTGGTCCGGCCGGAAGACGTTTTTCTTAAGGGTTTGGCGGTTGTCGAGGAGTGTGAAAGGTCGCATAGGCTTGCCATCGCTGCTGAGAATGGGTCCGGAGTATCTCAGGCCGCCAACTTGGCCATCAAGACGTTCCGAGTAACCGTCTTTGTCTCTGCCGTCTTCACGGCCGTCTTGTGGACGTGCATGCTGCCCTGGTGGGAGCGCAGGTGGCGCTAGTGAGATGATGTGTAGTTCTTGAGCGAGTGACTCAAGCGATTGGAATGTCTGGTGAACCATGAAGGCAACTTTGGTCAAGTTCAGTTCCCGGACGACTTGGTCATCTTGTTCTGCGAGCTTTGGGTTCTGTTGCAGGTACTTCACGCACGGTTGTCAGTAGTAGCTCGTGCACCGTCATTGTTGAACATACCTCAAGCTTCCGTTCCAGCTCCTTCTCTTCCCGAAACCTTGCAATTTTCACATCTCTTCTTGCAGCGGCATCTTTTGTGCTGACTGTGGAGAAGTTCTGCTTGTCTTCGCTGTACGACTCGAAGAGCTTTGCATCGCCTTTGCTAAGCATGTCGTAAGAGTCTAAGAGCTTCAAGAAAAGCTCATAGCGCGCTCTTGCTTGTAGAAGGTGCTCTTTCCGTGCTGACACTTCAGGGGTAAACACTTTTTGGATAAGTTCCGCCAAGTGATAGTTGATGGACATATACCTAGTTGCGGATGTGAGCCAGGATCAGGAACAGAAGTTGATATTGGTACATACTGGATGTCAGAAGATGTCACATCTTCGAGTGTCTCGTTTGGACTGAACAGAGAAAAATCCTCCGCCTTCTTCAGACATTGTATGTATGTGGCGATAGTGCTGCTGAGGTTTTCTTGGTAGATCGGGCTGTTTGGCTCGTACGAGGCTCCCAGCTCCTGCCGGGCGCGTTCAGCCTTCGAGAACAGGCCGCGTATACTTTGGTCTTCGTTCGACATATTGAAGGCGATTTTGAAATCGAGTGTCGAGGTGACTGGAGTTAGGAGGGTGCTGAATCAAGGTCCACGTGAGTTGGCGTTGCTTACAAACAATTGAGTCCCCCACTTGCCCCGCCACGACAGACACGTCCATCAACGCGTTCATCAACATCGTCTCCAACGCGCGCGATATTTGACGTCTGTCGCGATGGGCATCTACAGAGTCGCACAAAGTTACCGCTTATTCCCATGACTGCGGGACAAGGACCTGAGGGCGCGCCTGCTCACCGCTGGGCAATGTAGTGGCGGGCGCTTATTCCGTTTGCTTCTGCCCAAACGAGGCGCGTCCACAAGCACCGGGTAGTTTTTTCTTACTCCCAACACAGTCAATTTAAACCAAGCCTGTTTTTTTAGGTATTGAGCATCTCTACTTTCTTTCCATTCTTCTTGCACATACTTCCGTATCTACGGCTAAGCTTATCTCCACACCATTCGCAGGCACGATGGGGTGGGCCAACGTCGACGAAGAACAAGAGCTCGACTATTACTCTTGCGATGACATGTCAATCTTAGACAACGACAACAAGTATGTTCAGCAACTCGACATTAGGGACCCTCAACTGCGAGAGGGAGATGGAGATGATAGCGACGACTCTGATGACGCTGACAACTCCCGCACTCACGGTCCCATGACGATACCAGAGAAACGAAGGGCACAGAATGATATCTTTGGAGCATTCGCTGCTAACATTAGTGCTCATGTCACGCAACGAGAGGTCGATGATGCTGCATCGAGAAGTGCAACTGAGGAGCAGCTCTCCATCCGCGACATCCTTGCACAACGGGAAACTACCGTTCGCATTACCAATCCACGCGATTATCAGACTGAACTGTTCCAAACGGCCAAGAACGGTAACACGATTGCTGTGCTGGACACTGGATCAGGCAAGACCCACATCGCGACGCTCTTGCTCAAGCACGTTCTTGATGAAGAGCTGGAGACCCGTGCAAAAGGCGGCGTGCACAAGACTGCCTTCTTCCTTGTGAGTCTGATCGAACCTCTGTGGTTGTCAATGCTTATTATGAGCAGGTCGACTCTGTGAATCTAGTCTTCCAGCAAACGAACGTGCTCAAATGCGGCCTCGATCAAGGTGTCGAGTCTGTCTGCGGTGCCATGGGTGCCAGCCTTTGGAGAAGGCCTACCTGGGATACGTTATTCGCAAAGAACATGGTCATCGTATGCACTGCCGAAGTCCTCTCACAGTGTCTAATGCACGCTTTCATCAGTATGGCCCAGATCAACCTACTCATTTTCGACGAAGCCCACCATGCGAAAGGCAACCATCCTTACGCTCAGATCATGAAAGACTATTATCTACACGAGAGCGACAAAACGAGACGGCCTCGGTTGTTTGGCATGACCGCATCGCCAGTAGACGTTGGAGGCCTCAACCCCGAAGACGTGGTAGAAGCAGCGGCCAACCTCGAGACGATGCTGTGCTCCAAGATCGTTACCGTTGATGAGGCCACACTCGCCGCGAACAACATCAGCCCCCCGAGCGAAGAAGTCGTCCTTTACGATCGATTGCAGAGCGAACTCGAGACGCCTTTCCACAACAAAGTCAAAGCACAATATGGCAATGTGAAAGCGTTCCGAAAGTTCTTCGTCAAATCCAAGCAAACTGGCTCTGAGCTTGGAAGGTGGGCATCAGACATGTACTGGGCCTTCGCCTTCGCAGACGAGCAAGCTCGCAAACTTCAACAACGTGAAGAGTTTCATTACAACAACCTCAACAGGGAGAACGTCAATGTCGAAGAGCTTGATGCTAAGATTCAGCGCCTCAAGGATGCTGCAACCTTTGTGCAAGGTCACGACTTTGGTACGCCCTGTCTTGGAAGCGTCGACTTGAGCTCAAAGGTCCTAAAGCTTCACGAGTGGCTTAGCATGTACTACGAGCGAAGTGATGAGCCACGTTGCATCGTGTTCGTCGAACAGCGACAGACAACTCGTCTTCTAAAGCTGATATTTGACCACATTGGCGGGCCAAATCTTCGCTGTGACGTTTTGGTAGGAGTCAACTCCCGCGCCGGAGAACACAATGTCTCATTGCGAGCTCAAATCTTGACATTGTCCAAGTTTCGGCGAGGCGAGTTGAACTGTATATTTGCCACATCTGTTGCGGAAGAAGGCCTCGATATACCTCAGTGCAACCTCGTGATTCGGTTTGACCTTTACCGTACTATGATCGCGTACGTACAATCGAGAGGTCGTGCAAGACATCGTAACTCAAAGTACCTGCACATGCTCGAGAACGGCAACAACGACCACTATGAGCGACTCATGCAGGTCAAATTGGACGAAACTGTGATGAGGAATTTCTGCAAGGGCATCGCACGCGATCGTCTTCTCGACGATCTGGACGACGCAGACGACTTGGATGCATTTGAAGATAAGCTCTACCTAAGCTTTGTCGACCCAGTCTCAGGCGCGAAGCTCACTTACCGGTCAAGCCTGTCCGTTCTCAATCACTTCGTAGCGACACTACCAACTCCAATCCACGAGATGCATCTACAGCCAACATACGTCATCAGTGCCGAAGTAAACACTGATCCTCGTGACGCACATCGTACGGGATTTCGATGTGAGGTGATATTACCTGAGTGTTCGCCCGTCATCTCCATGATAGGTAAAGTTGAGAGCAGAAAGACGGTCGCGAGGTGCTCTGCAGCTTTTTCCATGTGCTTAGAGCTTCACAAAAAAGGATTCTTGGACTCCAATTTACTCCCGACAATTTCGAAGAGCCTCCCCGCCATGAGGAATGCACACCTTGCTCTCGGCGTGAAGAAGAAGGGCAACTATCCCATGCTCATCAAGCCAGAATTTTGGAAGCAGGACCGCGGTTCTGTTCCCCAACACCTTTATCTCACCATTGTCGATGTTGATGCTGGTCTTGATCGACCTCACCAGCCGTTTGGTCTTCTGACCCGATCGCGGTTTCCTCATATGCCATCATTCCCAGTCTACCTCACTGATGGCCGGGCGTCCAATGTCGTCTCACAGTCACTAGCGGCACCACTCGCAATCAGTCAGGAAGTGCTTGAGCTTGTAACCAAGTTCACCTTGCGCATCTATGAAGACATCTATAACAAGATCTATGAGTACGATGTCCAGAAGATGTCATACTGGGTAGTTCCTCTGCTTTCAAGTAGATGCGAATCGCCTCCGCAATACCCCAGCTTCGAAGACATTGTGGATATGGCGCAGGTACGCAAGGTCTACGAACAGCCAAATTGGCAATGGGCCCCAGGAACGTCGGATGACGACATCTTGGACAAGTACATTGTGGATCCCATGAATGGTGGCCGCAGGTTCTACTCTAATAGCGTTGCAACTCACCTTAAACCGCAGGATCCGGTTCCAGCGCACATTCCACGTCAAAACCAGAAGTTCATGGATAGTATTCTCGACTACTCGGACAGCAAATGGCTAAGGAGCAGAGACGTCAATAGGTGGCACCAAAATCAGCCTGTCCTCAATGTCGAGAAGATTCCATTCCGTCGCAATCACCTCGCTCGCGTAGAGGACAAGGAGCAGGAGGTTCTTGATAGTCTAAAGACCGTCATCTGTCCTGAGCCAATGCGTGTCTCAAACGTAAGTTTCCTTCAAATAATATAATGGATAAAACGCTGACTGCAAATAGGTTGCGACACCGTTTGTCGTCATGTGTTACATCCTTCCCGCCATCATTCACCGGTTCGAGAGCTACCTGATAGCCTTGGAAGCTTGCAAGCACATCGATCTGAAGGTTAGCCCAGCACTTGCCCTTGAGGCTTTGACCAAGGATTCGGACAACACCGACGAGCACGGAGAAGAGAATACCAACTTCAGGAGCGGTATGGGCCCCAACTATGAGCGTCTTGAGTTCCTGGGGGATTGTTTCCTCAAGATGGCTACCTCGATCTCAACCTTCGTACTGCAACCCGACGAAAACGAATTTGAGTTTCATGTCCGTCGTATGCTCATGCTCTGCAATGCAAACCTGATGGATACGGCAGTAGGCAAGAAGAAGTTCAAGTTTGCTGATGGCGAAGAACGTGGCTTGCAACTATACAACTACGTTCGCACCGGGGCCTTCTCGCGGTGAGTACTGACGGTTTAGAGACAGACAAGCCAAGCTGACACAGTGTAGTCGTACCTGGTATCCCGAAGGGCTGAAGCTACTCCGCGGTAAAGGTGTTGGCAAGAGTGAAGACGACTGGCTCAAGCTCACTCACAAGCTCGGTGACAAGTCCATCGCCGACGTCTGCGAAGCCTTCATTGGCGCGACCTTCATGCAGCACCACCATGCTGGCAAATGGTCACCATTAGACTGGGATGAAACCGTCAAAGCCGTCAAACTCTTCGCCAACAGTCCCGACCACCCGCAGTCCAAGTGGTCAGACTACTACGCAGCGTACACAATGCCTCAATACCAAATCGCCGAGTCAACGGCGACTCAACTCGACCTCGCTCGCAAGATCGAGGCTAAACATCCTTACAAGTTCAAGTACCCTCGCCTCCTTCGATCTGCCTTCGTCCACCCAAGCCAGCCCTTCATGTGGGAGCAAATACCAAATTACCAGCGTCTCGAGTTCCTCGGCGACTCCCTCCTCGACATGGTATTCATCATGCACCTCTTCTATGCCTACCCTGACAAAGACCCACAATGGCTCACCGAGCACAAAACGCCCATGGTCAGCAACAAGTTCCTCGGCGCCGTATGCGTCAAGCTCGGGTGGCACACGCACATTCGACAAAACACCGCGACCTTGTCCTTCCAGATCCGCGACTACGTGACCGAGGTCCAGGAAGCCGAGCGCGAAGCCAACGGTGCCGTGGACTACTGGGTCGGCGTGTCTGAGCCGCCGAAGTGTCTCGCCGATGTCATCGAGGCGTATGTCGCTGCTATTTTCGTGGACTCGGAATTCGATTTCAACGTCGTCAAGGACTTCTTTGAACACCACCTTAAACCGTATTTCGAAGACATGACCCTCGACGCGTATGATGACTTTGCATCTAACCACCCCACCACGCGCCTCAGCCGCCTGCTTTCCATCAACCTCGGCTGCAACGACTGGCGCATGGGCGCTCTGGAAACCGAGACGTGCATCCCGGGCAAGGGCAAGACGGTTGCGGCTATGGTTATGATTCACAATAAGGTCGTGTTTCATAGTCTGGGACAGTCTGGCCGTTATGCACGAGTTCGGGCGAGTCAGGCCGCGCTGGAGGTATTGGATGGACTGCCGCCGTACGAATTCAGGAGTAGGTATGGGTGCGACTGCGTCGATGAGGGAGAGGGCGAGATGGTCACGGAGGAAAAGGAGAAGGCGATGAAGGAGAGGATTGGGTTGAGTATCTGAGGTAGTAGTAGGGAGGGCAAGGAAAGGTGGCGGATGACGACGGAGATAACTGGTTGAGATGGTTGCATCATGCCTTTGCGATCAGCGACTGGTCGGCTTTTCACTCATGAGCATGGGAGCGAGGATATTCGTGGTCTTCATGGTCCAAGAAGTATTACAACTTACATGATAACGGGTATCAATATCTGGAACTAAAAGCTACTCAGAGCGGAAGCATGCATGAAGCCATCCCACCAGATCGTGTCGACAACTTCGAGAACCCAAAAGCATCCTCCTCGCCAAATGAGATATTGGGGTATTGTGCAGGGTATAAGGGGTATATCGCCAACAGACAGAACGCCAAGAAATTACAAGCCCTCACCTACGCAATCCTCCTTGCACCGCTTCATCTCTCCTCTCCTATTTGCTTCTTTTCTTCATGTCGCCCATCACCCCTGTCCTTATACATCAGGATCCTCCTCAACGCGCACCTCCGGCTCCGGTATGTACTCCTTCAGCTGCATCATCCGGTTCCGGCAGTGCACCACGAAGATAGCAGCCGCCAGCGCATTCCACACATCGAATCCCTCCTTTCCGAAGTCGAACATGGCAATCAGGCGTAGCCCAGGCGCGCGGTTCTCTCTGCTCGGTGGGAGGTAGCTGACAAACGCCATAATCGTGTGGGACGCGGAGACACCGTACAGAGTTGGCACCTCAAGCGCCGTCGATGACGAGGATGTGAACGATTGCGTTGCTGCGCGCGCGGCAAGTGTGGATTGCCAGAGCTCATGTAGGCGGCCGAGTTTTGCAAGAGTTTTGGACTCGAGGACGGTGGAGGGTACGTCTTTGCCGACTGTAACGATTTCGAAGAGAGGGAGCGCCGCCCAGGATAAGTCTACGCCGCCGTCTTTCAAGGCCCAGCGCGTGTACTTTGTGAGCGCGCGTTTGACGTGGTATTGTGGCTGGCGCTTGGGAGCGCGTGTTATGACGGAGTCGCGGACGTAGGCACCAAGGTCGAGGAGGGAGCTTAGTGCTAGTTGCGCTATTGTGTGTGTTAGCTAGGCGTTACCAGAATGCGGGATAGCTTAGGTACCATGGTAGTGTGTGCCTAGCGCAGGCTTGATGAACGACTTGTCCATCCTCTCAGTAAAAAGATCCGCGGGCAGACTGGGCAAATCGTCCACCCACTCGATAGGCATGATGGGCTCGTATCCACGCATGTTTATTTTCTGGAACAGGAAGATCGCATCTTCGGGCCAACCCCATGCTTGCAGCTCCTGTCGTTGCTTCTGCTGCTTAAGCAGTCGCTCGTCGAAGCTGATGCCCTTGTGCGTCTCGAGGTAGGTGCCGTCATCTACCACCATTGTGTCGTCGTTGGCATCGACTTCCTGGTCTGGGATCCCACCCTTGTCGAATGTTGGCGAAATCGGTGATGTGTTGAACAGCGTGTCGCCCTCAAAACCATCGTGGCCCTCAGGCGATCGTATGATGGAGTCCGGAGGTGACATAGGCACCAGTGTGATGTCGATATCGCTGCTGGGGCTGGGTGTCCGGGTATGCCAGATGTTCATGCGTGATTCTGGGCTCATGTCTCGGCCTGGCGGACTCAAGAGCTGCTGTGCTTGTGCTTGCTGCTGCTTCTTGAAGTTTGGCTTGGTTGGAATTGCAGGGACCTTGAACTGGAAAGGCTTCTCTCGAGCTTGCTGCGTCTTCCTTGGGCTGATGTAGGCCCACACCTTAGTCGCGTACTCGTGGAGGATCGTCATGTTGCAGTGCTACCTGCAGACCAGGCTGAGTCTGGTTGCGGGTCGTGATTCGTAGTAGTGATGATTGGGAGGTTGAGTCGTGATTCAAGACGCGTAGAGAAATGCCGGAAGACGTCGACAACGGCCACTCGTCGAGGAAGGCACCGCCGGTAACAGTGAGGGTGAATGCCACTCGACTCACCCACAAAGCGGAGCAAGAACAATGTCCTCAAGCATTCGTCTTTGAGCATCGAGCATCAACGACGACGCCTTCACCGAGTCATTGTTATGCACAGACCCCGAATGAGCGAGGTGGCTGGCGTAGCGCGATGCGTGATCACGTGCGCACTTTACGCGGGCCGAGTTGGATCTGATAAAAATCAGCACAGAGATCTGATAACTACCCCGCCGACAATGTGGTGCAGGGCAGCCCCACCAAAATTTGAGCCTCGATTTGCATCTTAGGAAGCATCGCAGCGATCACCGCCAAAACCCTCCCTTCTTCCAGTCCGTTTTCCAGTCCGTTTTCCAGTCCGTTTCATACTTCTTACACTCCTTCAACCCGCCAAAATGACTGCCTCAGCGGATGCGCAGACGACCCAAGTCTCTACGCTCCGCAAAATCCTCACTTCGGAGCAGGAGCCTCTTGCGCGCCGCTTCCGCGCCCTCTTCTCGTTGAAGTACCTCGCCTCTCTGCAGCCGCCCAGCGAAGAGACCGTGCCTGCGATTGAGGCTATTGCTGCTGGTTTCGGCTCGCCGTCTGCGCTGCTCAAGCACGAACTCGCATACTGCCTCGGCCAGTCGCGCCACGATGCTGCGATTGCGCCGCTGAGGAAGGTGTTGATGGACAAGCAGGAGGATGCCATGTGTAGGCATGAGGCTGCTGAGGCGCTTGGTGCGCTGAGCGATAAGGGCAGTTTGGATTTGTTGCGGCAGTTTCGGGATGCTGAGGATGAGCCGGACGTTATTACGGAGACGTGCGATATTGCGGTTGACAGGATTGAGTGGGACCACGGATTGCAGAAGGGCGAGGAGAACATCAAGAAGAGGCATGTTGGTCCAACACGAGTTGATTTGGGCGAGTGTACTAATTGGTGCAGTGACTTCACATCCATCGACCCTGCGCCGCCGATGCCCCAGAGCTCGGACAAGCCCTCCATCCCAGAGCTTGAGAAGACACTGCTCGACACAAAGCTCCCTCTTTTCCAGCGCTACAGAGCCATGTTCGCGCTGCGCGACCTCTCTTCCCCGCCTGATCTCCCCACCGCAGTCCCGGCTGTCCAGGCGCTGGCTCGTGGTTTCGACGACCCGTCTGCCCTTTTCCGTCACGAGATCGCTTTCGTTTTTGGCCAGCTGTCGCACCCTGCGTCGATCCCGAGTTTGACCAGGGCGCTGAGCAACACAACGGAGGAGAGCATGGTTCGCCATGAGGCTGCCGAGGCTCTCGGTAGCCTGGGTGACGAGGAGGGCGTGGAGGACACTTTGCGCAAGTTCTTAAACGATCCGGAGCAGGTTGTGCGGGACAGTTGTATTGTGGCGCTCGACATGGCTGAATTTGAGAAGAACGGTGAGACTGAGTATGCCATCATCCCCTCGCAGGAGACGGCTGTTGTGGCTTAGAGCGAACATCGAACAGAGGCGTGCATGGTTATGAGGCGTTTGGTATCAAAATGGGGGTAGAGGGAAAAGGCAAGTCTCGGCTCAGTTGTTGGTGTTCCATCTGCAAGGTGGCATTAGCATAGAGACAAATTCACCAAGATCGAACAAGACATACTTGTGACCACATTCGCACTCGTAGAAGACAGTGGAGCCTTCATCTGCACTTCGCAGCTGCTGGGTGTAGTAGCGAACCTCCTCGCGACCGCACTCTTCGCAGCGCTGGGCAATTTTACTGGTTGTGTTCACATCGTCTTCCGAGAGGGTCTGCACCTCTGACCGCTTTGCGCGCAGAGCCGACGGGAAAGCTGTTGGCTTGGAGACGGTGACGACCGTCTTGGAGGAGGTATCTGCAGCCGTCCGGTCAATCTATGCACGTGCCGGGTTGTTTGCTGCGAGATTCGCCTACCCTTGCAGAATGCGCCGCAGACAGTGCAGGTCAGGACGACGTTCTGTTTGCCTGCACTGCCGTCGAGCAGGTTTCCGCAGTCGGTGCAGAAGACGAGAGAGCCGATAGCAGACATTTTGGCGTGGTGGTGCTGGTGGTGCTGGCGGTGCTGGCGGTGCTGGTGTTGCTGGTGTTGCTGGAGTTGAACGTCTGGCTGGTGAGGTGCAAGATGTGAGAAACCAAAAAGTTCGCGGGGATCAGCCGCGGATGCTGCCCTGCAGCGCCGCTTGACGAATGCAGCAGGCGGTCAGACGCGTCATGAATTCCACCGTTGCGCCCGCTGCAGCGCCTACACCACTTTCACCTGCACAGCCAGAGAAGTCGTTCTGCCTTGCTTACCGTCCGAGCGCATCCTTTGCGGGAGTGGACGAGCTCTGCCAGGGCCATGTGCTTCCTACCACCGCTATAGCGAACCCTTTCAACCTCTGCCGGCCTTCCACCAACGGCGTTTGCCTGACCACCGAGCTTCCGCTGCGGTCGCTGCGGTCACTGCTTTCAAGACACACACCATGGCCAGGCACTTGGATGGTGCCTGGCACAACCTGCAGGGCAATGGCATCCCCTACCGGCCGCCTCCCACAGTGGACGAGGCAATTCCATACTCGCCGTTCACATCGATGATACCCTTCTCGCTGGGTCGGTAACTCAACTTTACCTACGCATTGCTGCGGCATGCTCTCTCACCTGCTGTGAATCAACGTACTGACAAGCAAGCAGACATCATCCCCTTCCCCTCTGCCGGACCCCCCACGCCGCCCTCCATCCTCACCCACAGCCAACAACAGGCTGCGAAGAGGGCCGTTGGTATCTTGAACGACGAGATCAACGGCCGGTCCACTGCTACACACCTTGGCAGTACCCTACGCCAGCTCCAGGCTTTGTTGAACCCAGAAGAGCTGCCAGAGTAGTGAGCTCTCCATCTGCCACGAATGTCCGGATGCAGCAACTGACGATGCTCAGCAACTTCAAGTCGATACCACAACTCGCAACGCCACCTTCTGAAAGCCCGACGAAGCATGTCAATGGCACAGGCTCGCGTGTCACATCCTCGTTCAGTCCGTTCGCGGCTATGCTGCTGAAGAACACCGAAGTTGCCTTCTCTCGTAAGTAATCTGGGCGCCTTGCTGCACCTCGATCTCACAAAGACAGCCTTCGGCGTCAGCGCAAACGGACCACCTCGAAAGGTCGCCTCCGCACAGCAAGCCACACCTTTGCCGCAGCCACGAGCCACACCGCAAGCACACACCCCCAACAACGCCGCATACTCTCAGAATGCTGCGATCCCATATCCGTCCAGTGCACTCTTGTCTGAAGCCAGTAGCACGCCGCTGCGCCCGGGAACAGCTGTTGTGATCAAGCGCGCAGCCGTGAAAAGGGAAGAACACCAGCGCTTCGACAATATTGCGCTCACCACACCCTCGTCACAGAGGAAAGCCGGCGGTGGTACAGCGGTCCTGCGGCCACATGAACGAGAGATTGCCGACCGAAAGATCGAGGAGCTTGAGGCTTTCGTGATCAAACTGGCTGAGGAGAGGGATGATTTGGATGTGACAGGAAGCTTCGCTCGACTATCTACCGCGGACGGCGAGATGAACGTCATGGAAGCTCGAGCCATGGATCGTCTATCTGACAAGATGGCCAATGTCAACAACCTCGGTCGCTTTCCTGAGCTCCCAGTCGATTTGATCATGCAGATCCAGAAGCTGCTGGAACCGAGCATCACTTACACAGGCCAGCTCATCCTCTTTCCACAAGAGGAGGACTGGTCTGATGGGATTGAAAAAGCCAGAGCAGCGCTTCAAGCTTCAAAGTTGGTCCTCGCGTCCATGATCGATGGTCGCGACGACTACCGATTACGACCCGAGGACACAATTACCGTCATCATCGACCTCATTAAGGTGATACGCAACGAATGCATCATGCCAGTGGTGCAAGCGCGCCGATCTGACAACCTATTCGATGCAGCATCTTCGCGCAGGAAAGAGCTCATCAGTGTCCTTCGAGGCTGTGGCGCGGTACTGAGCCGCTTCGCTACTCTCATCGGCAAAGTCAACCTCTCGGAGCGCGGTCTCAACGTTCTTGAAGACTTGACGGTAGGACTCTTGGTTGAACAGAACAGTGACTCTGAGAAGGACTCCGTGTTTGGCATCAAGCCTTTTGAATTGTTCAGACAGAAGGCCATGGATGTCCTCACGCAGATATTTGCTCGACATGCAGAACAGCGACCTTCCATTCTCAACGGCATTCTGAGTAATCTTGAGAAATTGCCGGACAAGAAGGCCAGCGCTCGTCAATTCAAGTCGGCTCGTGAGGCACCCATCATGTCCATCTCCGCGCTCTTCATGCGGTTTGTCCAAGTTGCTGCCATGAACAGGGAATCGCGGACGAATCAAAGACCTGCAGATGCAGAAGAGCAATTTAAAGAAGAGGAGGGCAGCGACTACGAGCCCGGCACAGCCACGCTACAGACATCGAAGCGCAAGAATAAGAGTAGTGCGCCAGACCAGATTGCCCAAGCGTTAGCACTCAACGCGAATCACATCGCAAACACTATCACTTCCAACCTTGTCGATAGAGCATCAAATGTTTCCAAGACCGGCGACAAGCCTTTCCGTAACCTGCTAGATCTCTTTATCGAGGACTTCTGTAACGTCCTCGGTTCTCCTGAGTGGCCTGCGGCTGCGATACTTCTCACGAGATTGTTGGTTCGAATGTACAACATGGTACAAGGAGAGCCCGCAGCGAAGCAAACCGTTGTGGACAAGGACATGGCTCTTTCGACCATGGCAAAGATGGGCTGTGGCGTTATCGATTTCAAGCATCGCTTGAAGCAGCTGAAGCGCGGGCTTGATGCATCGCAATCCGAGCTCTCTACGAAGCTCTATCGTCTTGCCGACGATGCACTGACGGACAACACCAAAGAGAGCATCAACCCCATCGACCTGTACGAGTTTGACGGGCCTTGCCGTATGGTCATCGAGTCACTGAGCGACTACCTTGAGCTGCAACGAGGTCAAGAAGATCCTCACCTTGAGTCTGTTACTGGTTGTCATGTCACACTGTGGCTCGACGCTGTCGTTCGCACCTTTAAGGAGAGCTCTCCGGACGCACCGCGCCCGCAGGCAGCCGACGAACTGCAACGGCACCTGGAGGCTATGATAATGGACTCGCGTTGGCTCGACCGCAAATAGTAAGTGCCTCTCGAGGACAGTGAGATCGCGTATCACTAACAAGTCTATCAGCAAATTCCAAGTTGTTTCAGAAAATCAAGCCAAGCTGGCAGCTGGTATCGTTACGCTGCAAGCTGATATTTGTACGCGACTACCGACTATAGTGCAGCTCATGCTGGTCGCTACTCGAGACAAAGTCTCCTCGAAGCTGCGTTCCAGAGGCATGACAGGCCTAGAGCAGCTAATCGAGAAAGACCCGCGTGTAGTCAACGAGACCACGGTAGGGACTCTGGTCCTTTCACTGAAAGACAGCTCACCCATGGTTCGCGAGCACACTCTTGGTCTGGTCGCGCAGTGCTTGGAGCACGAACCCAGCTTGGAAAGGAGATTTTTGGAGGACATTCTGCAACTGACTACCGACTCCTCGAACGGCCCGAAGAAGAAGGCCATCAAACTGCTGAAAGGGCTCTATACTGGGACAGCATCCAAAGAGAACAAACTCAACATCGCCATTGCTCTTCTCTTGCCATCACAGGACGATGAGAAAGCTATAGCAGAGCTGAGTCGTAGTGTCCTTGAGGAACTCTGGATGACTCCTCTAGCTTCTGCTGCCCGAACTGATGAGCATCAAGTAAAGCTCGACCGCGCTCATAGGGCAAGCTTGATGACAGACGTTGTCCAGAGAATACATAAGCTGCCGCTCAAACTCGAGGCATTTGAGAAGTTCCTCGCATACGCTCTGTCTGGCGAAGCTAAAGCTAGGAAGTCGAACATTCAGCTGTGCAAAGAGCTTATCGCCGAGATGTTCGATAAGGTCATCGAGGTTGACTCCACGACCGGCGAAAAGTCGCCACAAGCGAAGATACTTGGCACCCTGAGCATATTCGCCAAAGTCGATTCGACCCTGTTCACTATGGCCCAAGTGGACGATCTCAAGATTCACATCATCGAGCCTAAACAATCGAGCGAACTCGCTGTTATCCAACCTATAGTGAGAATCTTCCGACACGTGTTTCCGACATTACCGTTCTTGGATCCGAAACTCGCGGAGCATGTGCGAGCCAATCTCATGCGTATCCTACAAAAGCTGGCGTGGTGGGCAAGCCAGGGCCATGTTCCCAGTCGGGACACGTTGACTGATGTCGCGCATTGCTTGTGGACCATCTGCCCGCTGGTCGACTTAGGTTTGGACAAGCTTTTCACCGCGATGTTCAGCACCCTCTGTTCGTTGCGACCATTAGCTTCACCCAAGAAGAAGGAAACAGTGGCGGCGAAACCCAGTACTGTATGCTCGTTCCTTGTCTTGCTTGGTACGTTCGGTAAAGTTTGTGCTTTCAATGAGCACACGGACAGATTCATAAAAAGGCTCGCACCCTACGCGCGGGATCAGGTTCACACCAAGAAGAAGGCCACGGAAGAAGAATTGGCCCTCTTCATGAAGGGCTCTTCTTCAGTATCACTCCTGCTTCTTGAGACAGTACGACCTTTTACGATGCAGATTTACGATATGAGCATCCGCGAGCACGCTCTGCGCAGTCTAGGTGGCATCTGTCAGCAAGCTCCGGAGCTATTCATGCGTAAGGAGGTTGAGAAGCTAGTCGAGGTTGTTTTCATCAATCAAGCGAATGACGCCAACCAAGGCAACAATCAGTTGGCCCTTGTAGTGCTTTCCACCTTTGAGGTGTACTTCACACGCGCCGAGCGTCGCTCCGAGACAGGTTCGTCCATTGCTGTGGGCGAGGGCGCCGTCAACGGTTCCGCGCGCCTGGAATCTTCCTACGCCGCGACGGCGACTGATGCCGCCACTACGCATGTAGCCAAAAAGTTCCTGCGATTCTTCAAAGACATCGCTCTCAAGAACAATAACGAGCTGGCGGAAACAGCGACGAGCATCATCGCCAGTATCAGTCGAGCGGGCTTGGAACATCCAAAAGAATGCGGTGCTGCTCTCGTTGCATTGTCAACATCCTCGAACTATCACATCGCTCAGGTAGCCGCTGTGGAGCACAAAAGGATCCACGAAAAGCAGGAGTCGTACCTCGAGAAGGAGTACGTGCAGGCCGTCCGCATGGCTTTTGAGTACCAGCGCGACGTCTTCGACGACTCGCACGGAATGCTCGAGTCGAAATACAGTCCCAAGCTCACCCATCTCTTCGATGCCCTGAAGGGTGGCAAGAAGGCTACTTTCAAGAAATTCGTTGATAACCTATCGAAGCAGCTTGACTTCGACTTCGCCAAATTGAAGACTGGCGGGGCGATGCCTGATGCTGTGCTGTTTGCTCGCTTCTGTCTAGAGAACCTGGGTCTGGTCGACTTCACTACACTCGATATGGTTGCTTCTTTCATCGATAAGGTCGAAGCCATCGTGTTGAAGGACGCCGGGCCTCTGGTAGCCGGCGAGATCGACAAGGAGATGCCTCAACCAGCCGAGATTCCGCAGCAGTCGTTCATGTCGACCAATCTTAACGAACAGCTGCAAGCGATGGTCGTCGACCAAGGCATAGGTCAGCCCGTCGCACCCTTTGTCCCCATAATGTCACAGCCTGCATCTCTCGAGATCAGCGACGATCGGTTGCGAAAGTTCACAGTTGCTTGTATGATCCTACACATGATCTGGGAAACACGTACGTTTGTACGTCGCTGCTACAATGTCCACAAATACGGCAATCGCATTCCTCAGAAAGAGTACGCAAAGCCCGCGCAACGCAACAATTTCATCAATGGCAAAGATCTATGGGACCGCCTTACGCCCATCATGGGTGCTCTTGACAGTCGAGAGACAATGATCAAGTGCTGCTACGACTTCTCCGAGCTCTTGAATGTCGACCGGGAAGTCAAGGTTGGCGAGGACGAAGACGGACTCGATGCCGCACTGATGGATGCTGGCTACGAGACACCGACAGAGAACGGCGATGACGCACGACGATCTGCATCTATCCCAACAAGCGGACGTGGCAGGAAGCGGAAGAGCAACGTGAGCTTGGGCAACACACCAAAGAAGTCACGCGGTCGGCTGCAAGGCGCAAAGAATAAGAAGAGGAGCTCCAGGACACCGGACGACGATGACGATTCGGATTAGGAACCGGAGAAGGAGATCATTGTCCGCAGATCGTCGAGGAGCAGGAACAGAAGAGCAGAGGACGAATTGTAGCGACGCAACACGAAGCAACGCTTTCGCACACGTCACGTCTCTCTGCGAACGAATAAAAGAAACTGGTGGGGTTGAGGGCTATTTTTCTTTAGCATCATTGGCGTTTCACGGGCAACAGAGATACCCCTTGACATGGTCAGGCTGCATGTATACGGCGTTTTGGCATCAACCGTAAAGCTTTACGGTATCGACCATGCGAGGTTATAAAACGTAACGCTATTTGCGCAACGATAGTTCATCGGTCTCAAAACATAATCAATATATCTAGTCAAGCAGAATGGCCTGTTATTCATGGTGTGCAATGCAGAGAGAGACAGGGCTTCCAACCTGCCAGGCAACACGGTAACGCGATGCCGCCCTTGTGCCTGCGCTCTTGTCACGATTCGCAACCGAAGCCTCACCTCTCAATAGCTTGAACAGCTGGAACGAAAGCTTGAGACTATGTATGCAACCATCCAAAAAAATTAAATTTTTGAGTATGAGTTTTTTCAAATTTATCGTAAGGAGAGTAGCTACCAAAACATTACACCAAGGTCATGGCGGCGGGGACATTGCGTCTCGCGGCGCCCCTTTCCTTTTTGGCATTCCGCATGGGGCATAGGGCAAGGGACAAGGGACAAGGGGCATGGGTGGAGGGGACTAGTGTTCGAGTGTGGGTGGTGGTGGGAATGTTGCTTTTTGTATGTCTTGTTACAGTCAATTCGTGCTACTGCCTACCTTTTGCTATCAATGCTTGTAATTGCAACTCCCGATGCGCCATACGCGTTCCCGAAGTAGCCCTCCACGCTCGTCATCGACAACTCAGCGCGTATGTACTGAGTTATCTTCCACTCGGGTGCAGATGTGCGGGACTCATCTGATGGGTGGCCCTAGTGCTCGCCATCCGCGGTCCTGACCACTACACTGCCATCCTGCATACCGAAGTACACAGCAACGGGGACCTGTCCACCACTGACTGCTGACCTCTCACCGTCCTTCTCCCTCAGCGCCTGTGCGTCCAGACCGTTCAGCCCAGAGAAGATACCAACTTCCAACACACCCGTCAGGCTCTTGATTGCCTTTGCGATGTTGTTGACTTCCCATGTGCCGTCGCTCCCATCGCCCTTCCCACGTCCCTCCTGCACATCCTTCCTTGTCAACAGTGTGGGGAATGCGGCGTCGATGATGTAGAAATCCTGGTCGGTCTTGAGAGGCCCTGACTTATCAAGAAGCGTCGTTCTCAGCTTAGGGTTCGTGGATCCTAATGTCTTCAGCGCCGCGGCGACCTTGTTCTGCGAGAGAGGAGCGACTTCGATTGGTATCGTGGGCCATTGTGTGAGAAGGCGGTCTTGACGTTTTCGGTAGTCTGCCACGCAGACGAATTTCTTTGCGCGCTCGGCGACGAGCTTCTCCTGGAACAAGCAGGCGCCGCCACCCTTGATGCAGTTCAGTTCTGAATCGACCTCGTCGGCGCCGTCGAAGGCTACGTCGAGCATCACACCATCAGGCAGGCTGTCGAAGCCCAGAGGTGTGAGACCGGCATTGATGATGACTTGTCGTGACTGATAGCCCGTGGGTACGAAACGGATGGCGGGGTTGGTGGAGCGCTCTTTGATGGCCTCGACGACGTAGACGATGGTTGTTCCACTGCCAATACCTACATATGAGGCGTTGGCGTCGAAGTGGTCGGCCACAGCTTGCTGGCCAGCTGCGCGCTTGGCGGCTTCGACGTTTGTGTCGGTCATTGTGGAGGTGTGGAGTGTGGAAGTGGTGGTGAAGTGTCTGGGAGAAGCTCTTGGCGTTGTTATGCTGTTCAAATTGAATGGAGAGGGAAGGCACGATGAGGCATTGGTGTTGAGGGGCAACAGAAAAGAGGGTCTTGACGCGACGAGGGGCAGCTGTCGGTGCAGTGGCCGATGACTGATGCTTCGAAATTGTTGCGTGGTCCGCACGACTTGCAATAATGAGCACATCGGATGACAGCAGTTGCTACTTCATGTGCAACTGAAGCTAGTCACGATGATTTTGATTTGGTTTAGGCTATATGCTGATCGCAACGAGAGGGAAATTCAAAGTGAGCTCGCGACGAGATGGCAGGGAGCTCCTGCCAAATGACGCTCGAGCCCCACCACCCCCACGTTCCTCGGCTGTTGGCACCTTCTTTTCACGACAACTGAAGCCCGACCTTCTTCAAGTCTACAACACAAACAACAGTATCGTTCTTCATGCGTTTAAATGTCTGGTCGAGCGTCTGTTCAAGATTGGATGTCTATTCATCGTCTATACACTCAACAGAGCAGCGCTCATTGGCTCGATATGCCTACAGTTCTCGGTCCGAGATGTGGAGTGCCAACTCCTCTCTTCCCTTCCTATGTCAATCTATCATCTCTCCACCACCAGAGATAATAAGCAATCCCGTGTTACCTCCTCACATATCACTTCACTCGGCTTTCTCTTATCTCTGATCAAGTCTGTGTCTGTGATCATTTTCATCTTCCACATCAACCATCATCGTCTTCCTCTTCCCGCCATGAGCGAAGCACCTACGCTAGCTTCAGGTTGGCAGACAGTGTACGGTACACCCCATGTTTCTGGTCGTGCATCAGGCCAATTGCTAGCTTCGAATCTGGAGCTCAGCTTCTGGGGCGGCGTTGACCATGTCACTGGAGAGGTCATTGATCACTCTCACCCTCTGTACCGGCAGCGTCTGAAGAACAAGATTCTGGCAATCCCAGGGGGGCGCGGATCATGCTCAGGCAGTGCCACGATACTAGAGTTGATAGTGAACGGCAATGGACCTAGAGCTTTGATCTTTGAGCGGACCAACGAGATCCTCGCCGTTGGCGTCTTCGTCGCGGAGGAACTGTTTGGAAAAACAATACCTATGTTGATCGTAAGTCACAAGGGCTTCAGATCTATTTTGGGCTGGAATGGGAAGGAGGTCCACGTTCAAAGCCATCGAATCTCTACGTACCCATTGGAGCCAAGTGTCAACGATACATCCTTGAGTCCTCCCATCGACGCTCATCTTCATACACCTGAGCTCTCAGAAATGGACAAGGCTATGCTTCAAGGTGGCTATAAGAATGACAGCGGGTACAGCAAAGCTCAAGCGTTTGCCATGAAGATCATCATCCGAACAGCATCGATCATGAATGCCCCTTCTCTGATGTCCATCAGCCAAGCACATGTAGACGGTGCTCACTTTGGGCCAGCATCTGTTTTGTTCGGCAAACGACTACGCGACTTAGGTGGTAACTTTGCTGTCTCAACCACCGTGAACGCCATCACTATTGATCAGCAGCGCTGGAGAGATCTTAGTGTCGATATGAGTTTTGGCACGGAGAGCGAAGAACTGGCAAGAGCATTCCTCGAGATGGGTGCGAAGATGTCGTTCACCTGTGCGCCTTACCAGCTCGACTCAGCACCAAAACTGGGCGATCAAGTGGCATTTGGCGAGTCTAACGTAGTGTGCTACGCGAACAGCGTACTCGGTGCAAGGACAGCCAAGTACCCGAACATGCTCGAAGCGCTTATCGCCTTGACAGGTCGCGTTCCTAGAGCTGGGATCCACCTACCGGAGAACAGGGTGCCAGAGATCTCCATTGCCGTACCTCTGCTTTACCAGCTTCGTGGAACCCCACTTGGCGACTCTTTCTGGCCTCTGCTCGGCTACGAAATCGGCACAAAAGCAGCATCACGCATCCCCATCATTGCCGGTTTCGAGTACATGAAGCCGCCGCCTTCTCGAGACGCTCTAAAAGCCTTCTCCGCTGCCTTTGCTACCAGTGCTGGAGCGCCCATGTTCCACATGCTCGGTGTCACACCAGAAGCAGAACAACATAGGGCCCTGAAAGAGTCCAACACATTGAGCCCCGGGATAGCCATCACCTGGAAGGACCTCGAAGCTACCTGGATAACGTTCAACCAGAATTCTGACTTTCAAATCCCAGTACGTACTGTCGACCTCATATCCCTAGGAAACCCGCATTTCTCACTCCTCGAACTGAAAACCCTCTCCCATCTCGTCCACGGTCGCATCAAAAGCCCATCGACGTCAGTCATCGTCACGACGTCCCGTGCACAACACAGTCTCGCAACACAAGCGGGCTACATCGCCCAACTTGAGGCCTTCGGCGTCCAGGTGCTAACCGACACGTGTTGGTGTTTTATCCGCGATCCGGTGATCAAGAAGGACGTGAAGTGCATTATGACAAATTCGGGGAAGTATGCGCATTACGGCCCTGGACTTACGGGGCGAGAGTTCTGCTTTGGGGGTTTGGAGGAGTGTGTAGAGAGTGCGTGTTCGGGGAGATGGGAGGGAAATATGCCGGAATGGATACAGGCCGGGGTGCAAAATTCGCACTGAAAGGCGTAATGTTTTTAGAGTCACCATCATCGTCATTATCTTAAGACTCATCAGGCTAGTATTCAAGCCACAGGCTCAACCTTAATCTCCGGCCCCTCGATCTTCTTTACCTTCCTACCCTCCCACCAACTCATAATCCCCGCAAACATAGCCACTCCACACCCCAGCGCAATAAACGTACCAGTAGCCCACGTCGGCCGATCAAACCTGTTATAATGCCACATGAAGAAACACAGGACCGCCTGCAACAGCGTATTCAACACCATCATATCTACCGTAAACGCCAACTTCCACATCGCAGTCGGCGGTGCCCTCTCCCCCGTAAATGTCTGTTTCTCCACTTCCCCACCATCACCTCTCCCAGATTCATTCTCCGTAAACCATGCCGGCGGTCGGAACCACGCTTTATTCTGATTAAACAGTCTGCGCATGGCGTTCTGGTCATGAAAATGCACGATCCGAATCATCCAGTAGAAGTCGCGGAAGCGCCAGGGCGCGAGACCGAAGCCGGTGACGCAGAACAGAGCGTTGAGGATCTGGGAGCAGATTTCTAGCCAGATTTTGCGCGGGCTGTAGTCGTCATTGCAGGAGGGGTGGCACATGGCAGGTGCGGCGTTGAGGAGGAGGAAGAAGAGCATCGCGCCCCAGGCCTGGTGGTGTTAGTGGGGGTGTTGAATGTGGGAGGGGGGGGGGGAGGTGTACGACGATGTTCAGGCCATATATGGTGATCAGGAAGCCCGAAGGGGTGAGAAAGAAGATCCAGAATGCCTTTAGGCCGTTTTTGATGGTTGGACCCCAGGGCTCTTTGTGAGAAGATGCGTACTTCTCTTTCAAAGACTGCCTGCAATGGAAGCCATGGTGCTTATGTGACTGTCTTCCGGGCTCGACATCTGCCTCTTCAGGCACAACGGCCTCTTTGACAGAGCTGCTGAGGGTCTTCGTCTGTGTCTTTACCAAAGTGAGCTCTCCATCGTCATCTGGCTTTGCGATTCGAGTCGAGTGTCCATGCGCGTCGAACGCGATGTTTGATCCTCCAGATTCCGGTTCGCGCAATTCTGTCAGGTTGGGTGCTTGGGCAATTGCTGTTCCTGTGGCCTGCCACATGCCCAGCTGAGGTGTCGCATTCAAAAGTGACAACGACATCCCTCGCGCCCGCCCAACGATGCCCTTCTCTTGCTTGTCGGTCATGGTTCAGATGTGTGATGTCAGAATCAGTTTCAGCTCCTACAATTTAGGTCTATATCGTGAATACAAAATCCGCGCGGCCGAAGCTGGAAGTCCTGAAAATTTGAGATCCAACGCTCCGATGTACGTGATCTCCAATAAGCGTACCAAACACGGATGATCCGGGGTGCGATGCGCAACCATTTGCCCCAAGCGGTAAGAGTACGCGTTGTTCTCGGTCTGGCGCGCCTTCGAACGACCGTGGAACAGGAGCCAAGAACCGAAAACAACAAGAGGTGAGATGCGGCGCATCTCGCGAAGCATGTGATTGGGCGACGTCGCTGATTCAGAAGGTCCGAATGCTTACCCAAACAAACTTCAATAGACCAGAGTTTCTGTCATCGACCTTATCGTTGCGGACTTCCTTCATCTTGAGATCGAATCGATGTAGCGAGCAATTGGTGCACGTTGCGCAATGGCTCTCAACTTCAGCAGCAAGCAGCGACACGGCCAATACCATGACGAGAAAGCGCAAAGTACCGGACGAGTGAACACCTTTGGCCAGGTCGCGATAAAGTTCCACAGAAACACGACACAATTGAAGTACTGGTTCGACAAGCTCCAAAATGACGCTTCTGCGTGCCGGCCAGCGCAATGTGCAAGACCGCGAAGAGGGAGTACAGCGCTCGTCGACGAATTTATCAACGAGAAGACGGATAGTACCCCAAGACCGCGATTGAACATTGCGATACACATCTGTGGTTCTCGAGGAGATGTGCAGCCCTTCATACCTATTGCGAAGTTGCTTCAGGCACCACCACATGGCCATCGGGTGCGAATTTGCACACATCCGGCCTTCAAAGACTTCGTTGTGAGTAATCGCAGCAATAAGAACTGAGATTTTAGCGAGTGCTAATATGAGCCGCAGGAAAGCAACGGTATCGAGTTCTTCTCAATCGGCGGAGATCCTGAAGCGTTGATGGCCTACATGGTGAAGAATCCTGGGCTGCTGCCAAACATGCAGTCAGTCAAAGCTGGAGACATTGGCAAACGGCGAAAAGAGATGGCCGGGATGATCGAAGGAACCTGGAGAAGCTGTATTGAGGCCGGTAATGGTACGGGCGAGAAGATCCCAGCGCTGAACGTAGACGCGCCAGAAGATTTGTTCATCGCCGACGCCATTATCGCAAACCCTCCCTCAATGGGTCACATTCACTGCGCGGAGAAGCTCGGTATTCCTCTGCATATCATCTTCACAATGCCGTGGTCGCCAACGAGGGCCTTTCATCATCCTTTGGCAGCCATGGAGTATGGTGAGGTCGAGAAATCAGTAGCCAACTACTTCAGCTTTGGTATCATGGAGCTGTTGACATGGCAAGGCCTCGGAGATATCATCAACAAGTTTCGGACGCAGACCTTGAAGCTCGATGCAATCAGTCCGCTGTGGGGCCATCAACTGATACCACGGCTCCGCGTGCCCTATAGCTACCTCTGGTCGCAAGCTCTGATCCCACGACCACCTGACTGGGGTCCGCACATCAGTATCACCGGATTCTCGTTCTTGAAAGCTGGCTTAGATTACACTCCGCCTCAGGACCTGGCCGACTTTCTCGCCTCAGGACCGCCTCCAGTGTACATCGGTTTTGGTAGCATCGTGGTCGATGATCCGGTGGGCCTCACCAAGCTCATCTTTGAAGCTGTGAAGTTGGCGAAAGTACGAGCGATTGTGTCTAAAGGTTGGGGAGGCGTTGGCGCAGGTGAGGTGCCTGATGACGTGTACCTCATAGGCAACTGTCCGCATGACTGGCTCTTCCAGAGAGTTTCATGTGTCATCCACCATGGAGGCGCTGGTACAACCGCAGCTGGCATTGCGTTAGGAAAGCCAACTGTTGTTGTGCCCTTCTTTGGCGATCAACCGTTTTGGGGACAGGTATAACTGCACCGAGTGGAGTTGGAACTACATGCTGACTCGCTTTTAGATGATTGCAAAGGCTGGTGCTGGCCCGGTGCCTGTGCCATTTAAGCAGATGACAGCAGAGAGCCTCGCCGAAAGTATAATGTTCGCACTGAAAGACGACGTAAAAGTGGCTGTACAGAAGATGGCTGAGAGCATAGCGGAGGAAGACGGGTCAGGGGGCACAGTGCGAGACTTTGAGCAAAAGCTTGGGCTTGATGGGATGCGGTGCCATCTCTGTCCAGAACGCCTGGCGATCTGGCGAGACAAGCAGACTGGAGCACACTTGAGTGGCTTTGCGGGGTCTGTGCTTGCCCAGCAGCGGCTGTTGGATCCCAAGCATCTGCGCTTGTAAGTCACTCCCGCTATTTGATGTTGGGTGCCACGGCTGACGATGACCGGCGAAGACTGCGACACAGACATTGGTGTGAGTAGTGTTGTCAATTCATCCGCAGTATACATGTTGCTAATAGTTATAGATACACACGAAGGAGCGGAAGGACCATTTGTAGGTGCCGTGGCTGCATTCGGTGGTCTTATGGCCTCCATTGGTACAGACACGACCGATTATTCACACAGGCTCAAGAAGCGGCCACATAATGCGGATATTGAGACCTTGTCACGAGTCGTCTCGAATGGTGAACCGGAAGAAATTGACCCAGAAAAAGGCCTTACGTCAAAGCACTTCCACCACTTGGCGTACAGGATGGCCGTGAAGTCGTATGAAGAAGACCCAAGGCGAAACTTCAGTAAACCACGGAGTCATCCTGGTCTCACAGCCATCAGAAACAAAGTAGCCGCGAAGAAGGCGAAAGGCGGTCGAGGCTACCAGATCACAAGCGCTACTGCGCATTATGTTTGTGATCTTGCCGTTACAGGCGCCAAGGGTAAGCTTCTGGGGCTTGAAAGTAGACACTTGCTGACGGTGTCGACCAGCTCCAGTTGCACTCTTCTACAACATGGCGAATGGTTTTCGGAATCTGCCCTCTTATGCCATTCGCAATGATCCAGCAAGGCGAAGAGACGAGATAACAAGTTTGGGTAGTGGATGCAAACTCGCGGGAAAGGTACGCTCCTATTCAGCCTGGGATTAAGGCAGCGCTGACAAGGCTCGCAGGAATTTTTCCTGGGGTTCGGTGACGCCTTTCAAGGTATCGTAAGACATCCATATCTTGGTGCGAAACAAGAAGGCCTAGTTGGATTTGGCAAGGGCATTGGTAGAGGTGTCGGTGGGTTCTACTTCCACTCGATGGCAGGTACGTAGCATTCCTTGTTGACCAGGTGTAATTCTATTGACGCAGTCAGCGATCTTCGGCCTGCCTGGATATTTTCTGAAAGGAGTTGAAAAGGAACTTTTGCGAAGACACCTCACCACTCTACAAGCAGAGATCTTCCTGATACAATTGCGTCGATCATCACTTGACTTTCGACAAGCAACAGAAGCCGAGAAGGTGGAGGTAGTCGAGCAGTGGAAAGAACTCAAAGCCAGCATAGCAAAACATTAGCCTGGCGTAATTTTGACGGGGATCTGCTGTTGGTAGAGGATACAATAATAATGAGAGTAATCAAATAATACTTGTGTCATGTGCCGTGTCTCGAAAAGGCATGTGCTGAGCATGATCAGAGACGTCGAAATTTGTGAGTAATGAATGTGTTAGAATTTCGAGAGCTAGCTGCAAGGACGTCAGACCCCTGTCACGTTGGATCACGCTTGCCCCCACCAACCCCACGTCCGCGGTGCTTGTCGCGTCGACACCGCCCTGGTGGCAGAATCTTGAGGCTGCCTACTGTTGCTGCTGCGCAAACAATCGACATTCACTTGTACATTGACAAAGTTGGGAACAAGATGGCGGACCTACCTCCTCCAGTTCAAGGACCAACCGCAAAGGAGAAGAAGTAAATCCCTCAAAGCACCGAAGGTCATTCGTACCAAGAAAGAGCTACTGACCAATGCAGGTACGACCGACAGCTGCGTTTGTGGGGAGCTACCGGTCAGCTTGCGCTCGAGAACTCGCACATCCTCCTCATCAACAATGGGCCCGGCGTTGTTGGCATTGAGACCCTTAAGAATTTGGTTCTGCCTGGGATCGGCCAATTCACTATCCAGGACTCCGTTGTCGTCACCGAAGCGGATTTGGGCGTGAACTTCTTCTTGGAAGATCAGCATCTTGGTGGCTTTCGCGCTGAACACACCAGCAACTTGCTCAAGGAGCTGAACCCTGATGTGAAAGGCCACTTCATCACAGAGGTATGTGTGAGCGCAGGCCAGGCTTGATACATGCTCACACAGTTCCAGCCCATCGAATCATGGCTGGTCAGGCCGGATGCTCTACGGCCGTACACACTCATCATCGCGACTGCTCCAGTGCGTCCTGAGCTGCTCGCAAAGCTCTCCGATCATGCAAGCGCTGCGCTGCTCCCGCTCTTCTACGTTCACTCGGTCGGCTTCTACTCGCACTTCTCGGTGCACCTCCCGTCCGCCTTCCCCATCGTCGACACACATCCTGGTTCCGAGACCACCGCAGATCTGCGGTTATTGAAGCCATGGCCGGAGCTGCTGCAGTTTGCAGAAGAGAAGACAGCAAACCTCAAGAGCATGAGCCCTGACGATCATGGGCATGTGCCATACCTGGTGTTGCTGCTGCATTATCTGGAGGAGTGGAAGAAGACACACAACGGGGAGGTGCCGCAAAGCTACAAGGAGAAGACAGAGTTCAGAACGACAGTGTCACAAGGTGCAAGGACAAACAACCCAGAGGGTGGAGAGGAAAACTTCGATGAAGCTGTGGCCGCCGTCCTCAAGTCACTGAACCCCCCGCAAGCCAGTAGTTCGGTCAAGGAGATCTTTACTGCACCAGAATGTCTCCTCATCCGCGAAGACTCACCCACCTTCTGGGTTATCGCGAACGCCATCGGCTTGTTCTACACAAAGTACGGTGTACTTCCAGTTCCTGGCTCCGTACCGGACATGAAGGCTCGCTCCAAGGACTACATCCAGCTTCAGAACGTCTACAAGTCGAAAGCACGGAAGGATCTTGCTGAAGTACTAGAGAGCGTGCGGTTCTTAGAGAGGAATGCCAACCGGAGCACACCCATCGAAGAGAAGGATGTCGAGGCATTCTGTAAGAACGCTGCACACATCAAGCTGGTGCGTGGGCGGCCGTTCCATGTGGTGCAGGCTGGCCAAAAGGTCAAGTGGGGCGACAGGGCGAGGTCTCTCGGTACGTAATCACAGGCGTAGAATTGGCACTCATACTGACGCATTGCAGCACAAGAGCTTACCTTCCCTGACTCTCTCATTCCGCTGTACATCGTCTTCCTGGCATGGGACGAGTTTACCGCAACACACGACAAGGATGCCCTGGGTGGCACTGCACAAGCACCCGGCGAGACAGATGCCGATACAGACGCCGAGAAGCTCACCGGCATTGCTCAAACGATCATGGACGGCTTGATCAAGGAAGCTGGAACCCACGTGGAAGACCCAGAATACTCGACGATCAAGACGCAGATTGGAGAGTTTGCCCAAGAGTTGTGAGTGGACCTCTGATTTTGTAGGCAACAGACACGCAGCTGACACAACCATAGCGCTCGAGCAGGCGCTGCTGAGCTACACAACATCGCTGCGCTTACTGGTGGCATTGTGTCGCAGGAGATCATCAAGGCGATCACAGAGCAGTACGTTCCGGTCGACAACACGTGCGTCTTCGACGGCGTCAAGAGCAAGAGCGCCGTTTTCAAGGTATGAGAGCTTCGTCTCTGGCCAGAGACCCACAGCGTGTATTCGATATCTGCGATGCATCGATTTGAATGAGCATCTACAATTGTAGACTGCAGATCGCTGGGAGATGATCAACAATGCGCTCGGGGTGAGCTTTGAAGTTGGTGAGGCTACGGATGGGATCGGGCCAGTGTATAAACGGAATCAAGAGCGTAACATAGATTCTCAACGAGACCAATGACTGAATGAAAGTACGAAAAGTAGCCCCGCAATAAGTCGATGCTGAGTGAAACGTTTTAAAAAATGCTTACTCTAGTGACGAGTGCTTGTTGCTCCTTCCCCAGGGATGTCATCAAACAGCTTCCCATTTTACCAGCGTGACCTGCCATATTACTAGCATCATCGCAACTACCTTGCACATACATCAACGGCGACGATGGTCAAACAGAGTAGACTCACCTTTTCGACGTTGCCCTCGACGACCTCGACTACGAGGTGCCGTGACATCGCGTTCTTCGAAAAGCACCGACCATCGCGACGCGTCGAGCGCTAATGAGTACGGCAAGCCAGTTGAACTCATCACGCAACTAGCACAATTCACACATCCGCCATCCTCCCAAGACTCTGCAAGCTTCGCGCCCCTTCTCCACCCGGAATCAATCATGGAGACCACCTTCGACCTCCCAGATTCTACGGACTGGATAGCGACAGCCCTCCCTGCATTCGAACCGCTAGAAGCAGCCTTGCGCTGCGAGATGTGCAAGGAGTTCTACATGAACCCTGTCATTACATCATGTTCGCATACATTTTGCTCGCTATGTATAAGACGGAGTATCGCTGCAGACGGAAAATGTCCTAGCTGCAGGACAACATTGTCGAGCGACAAACTGGCGCCGAACATTGCCGTGAGGGAGGTCGTCATGCGCTTCCAAGAGGCGAGACCAAAAGCCCTCGAGCTGGCGCGTGCAGACAAAGAGCAAGAGACTGGGATAGAGGCTGGCAACAACAAGAAGAGGAAGCTGGAAGACACGGATCTGGAAGACGGCGAAGATGTGAGGCAGACGAGGTCGCGGCAGACACGGCGCACTCGGCGCAATGCGGGCTCGAGCGATGCGCCTGTGGAGATAGCAGACAGTGGGGACGATGGCGACGGAGACTTTCTGCCTGAGGGTATAGCGAAGTGTCCGATCTGTAACGAGGCTATGAAGCAGGAGCTGGTCTTCAACCATTTGGACGTCTGCACAGGGCAGAGCGCATCTCAAGGGCGCAGCACACGGTCAAAGTACGTTGATGAGTACGATTACCATTGCTGGATTTATGCTAACATGGGCCCTGCAGAACCAAGAACCCATTTCCTGGGGCCTTGCAGAGACGGCAGAAAGAACCCTCACCCCCACCAGCGCGCCAATCACAACTCAACTATGCGATGATGAAAGAAGGCGCACTGCGCAAGAAGCTACAAGAGATTGGGATACCAAGCTGGGGAAGCAAGGACCTTATGAAGCGACGGCATATCGAGTGGCTGAACATCCACAATTCGAATTGTGATGCAGACGAAAGTGTACGGAAAAGGAAAAAGCAGCTAGTGAAAGAGCTGGAAGAATGGGAAAACACACAAGGCGGAAGAGCAGACACCAAAGAGAGCAAGGTCATGAGAAAAGACTTCGACGGTAGTGGGTATGCGAAATCCCACAAAAGCGACTTCGACGACCTGATCGCCCAGGCACGAAAGCAACGCGCTGCGCCAAAGTCAGAGGATGACAAGGAGACAAATGGGAATGCAGATGGGGTCGCACAAAAAGACCCTCATCCACACCCTGAGTCGCTTCTCTCGATGCCAGATACGCCTATCAGTACCGAGCAAAAACCTCAATCGATACGACAGAACGGGGTCGAACCGCAGGGTCTCTACAACCATGGATCAGAGCTGGGAACGCGTCAGGACGGCGCAGAATTCGCAAATCATGCAGAAGCTAATTCGACATCGGAACCGGTGGAGTCGACGACTGCATCGCAGGAACCGCCTATTGGGCTACAAAACCCCCTCGGGAGCCCTTCGCGGAAACTACCCATGTTTTCTATGCCTGAAGAGCCAGTCAAAGAGTTAGATATGTTCGCAACGTAGCTACAGTGGGTCGTCAGATTAAATCCAGGGTCTCACACATCCTATATTGCCTTCTGGCTTAATCGTCTGTAGTTCCTTTCACACCATCTCATATTCTTCCCTGTCCTCCCCACATACTTACCTCCTGACATCCCTAGCTTCAATATAACACACGCCCGGCATACTAGCAGGCATGTTGTTCGCCAGCGCACCCCGCAAGGACTCTGTGCAGAGCTCTAAGGAAGGTCTCAAAGCCACTCGAGCGGAGTTCAGTCCTTTGAATACCTCCCCGCTTGCCAACTCCTCGAGCGCAGACGTCGTAACGAACGATGATCGCACGAAGTCGCCCGATATCACACGGGTCCTGTCGCCCATGCGCCCGCGTCGAACGCCTGTTCTCATCAACGCACCGGATGTAAGATGGCGTCTGGCGCCGCACTTGCGACACATTCCATCTCTCGACTCGGTGCTGAGCACGTCGACAACTTCGGCGTCAGAAACGTCGACCGTGCGCCCCATCCCCATCGAACCACACAACGTCGCACTGCCGTTGTCCAGCGCGTCGTCGTTGGTCACGGTTATGCCTGAGGAGACGGACCCTCTCGACATCCCTCTCCCGCCTTCACCTCCACCGCCTCAAATCGATATCAGATTCAACGAAGCTATCGAACGACCAAAGTTTGGGAATGGACGCTATTTTCACCAGCCCCATCTTCTATCCCCGGTCACTGAGGCTTCCTCAGCACCCTCGATCCGCTCTTCAATAACCGACCTGGATATTCAAGACGTTGCGACTGCCGAGCGCCATCTTCTCAGCAATGTTGGCCGGCAAAACGTCCAAGTCGTCGGCGCAAGCCAAATCAGTCTCGCGAGCCAGCAGTCAAGACAAAGCCAATTTGCAGAGCGCTTCAGCGTCGATGGCGTCGAGCATTATGCTGAGAGTCCGAGAAGTGGAGGGCAGAATGGCACGCCGGCCATGCGCGGTGCGAATGGGCTTGGAGATAAGGACGTCGGTGCGGGCGAGGAGGAAGTCGCAGCAAAGGAGAGGCACAAAGCAAAGACTATCCGTGGAAAGATTAGGAAACTCAAAAGGAGCGTCAAGGGCTTGGGGAATAGGGTTGCGGAATGTGTTGCTAGGAGATTTGTGACGAGAGTTCTGGCGCGTGGAGGCTGGGCGTAAACGGGTTCAGATGTTAGCCTGGAGGCAGTCGGTGTGTTTTCCTGGGCTTGGGTTATTGAGCGCATGGGATGGACTGGGTTTGGTTTGGGTTTGGGTTTGGGTTTATGGCGTTAGGGGTTTGAGAGTTAAGAAACGAACAGGATACAAGGAGTAGGATACCCATAGATTGAGTGTAGCTCTCTATAATGATCATAACCAAGTGCTTCCCGGTTACTCGTGCGCCCTGTGCTGGTGCATCTGAACAGATTAGTGCGACTGACTATACTCTTTCTCCGTACCGAGCATCAATCGCACACCAACACCCTCGCGATTAGCACAGCAGCTCAGTGAACGGCGTCATGGATGAACGTATATGTCCCAATGGCCGGAGTTTAATCAAGAAAGTAGAGAACCAGCATAGGCTATTGTTTCTCCATCAAGAGGCATCCCGAGTTCTGGTGGTTGGAGTTGTTCAGGTCATACCCGATCAGGCATCCTTTCTTTTTTTGCCTACTTGTCGGTCTGGCAATCTACATTGTCACGGAAGGGCCAAGGCATTCACGCGTCCCATGCAGAAGAAGGACTCAATTGACATGACATGCACCCATGCGATGAAGCAGAGCTTGTAGCTTACATCAGAGGACTCACAGAGCGACATATCATGCCTACAAGGCAAATGATCAAGAATTTCACGGCTCCAATACTTGGTTATGAGCCTGGTTACACGCTTTCTCAACCGCAACAAAGTGTTACAATCCTACGTCCCACGATAGGACGACGGGGCAATAAGTAACCACCAACCAAACATGGAGACCTGGGGGAAGGCGCAGCACGACAAGGCCGTCCGGCCGGCGCCTAATGGGTTCGCTCTCTCCCGAGCAGACCCACGTGACAAGCTCGTCAACGAGCATGGCGCGATGCTCATCAACGAGGCGCAATCCATCCGGATAGGCCGGGACCGAATCCGCTCGTCAACAAGCAGGATCTGGTGGACAGTATATAAGCAAGTAGGAACACAACCCTTATGGTTCGTGTTCAACCTAGTCATTCAAGTTTGTCTTTGGATCTCAACCGACCTTCAAGCTAGACAGTCTACTCTGTACTACTTATTGTCATCCCTGCTTTCGAGACAGACAGATCACATCTGTACTCCTCATTGCAACTAACCCCTATCGAAAGCCTGTTACCGTATTCATCCCCGAGAACCAATAGTAGTGCTTACGAGCTTTGCTTAAAGTACGACTTCAACACAACCACTTGTTGTGGCCGGACCTCAACTCTGCCTGCACATTTTGTATAAGAGAATATTGTTGCATAGGTCTATAGAACACTCCACCAAAAGAACCCGTGATAATAGCTTTTGTATGTGGCTCTACATCCTCATGTTTGTAAACTGCCTGAGGTGGTTGGTACGGCGCATTGACCGAACAGGCGCGTTGAGTGCACGGACACGGTAGGCCTATGAAGGGAAGGTCCAGCCGTACACAAACCTTGGAAGTGACTTTGGAAACTTTCAGCTGTGATCGCCATCATTCTACCTACCGTACCCCGCATCCTCATGTAAGAACTGGAAGCAGTGCTGTACAACGGGTGTACCGATGAAAGCTGCGACAAGTCAATGGTCTGATGGAATGTGACGGTTTGGCTCTGAGATGGTTCGCCAATTCGAAAGCATCGTACCGTGTCCGTGCGCGTAATGCGCGGATTCGCGTAATGCGCCAAACCACCAAAATAGGTCCACCAAAAATGAGGCTGTAGAGCCACACACAATGGTTATTATCATGAGATTTTCTGGTGGAGTAGTCTATAGACCTAT